TATTTCAAAGGTATGACAGTCTATTTCTTGTCCTTTTCTGAAGACATTTATAAAAAAAGCTTGAGTCAAACACTCACTAACACTGTGGTGGTTACAATAGTCTGCTGCAGGGCTTAATGCTTGGTGCAGTTTTTTGTACATGAGTACATGAACATGACTAATCTAATCATACTAGTTATTTGAAGAATGTTTCTTATTAGAGCTGTTCTTAAAAACGAACATGACTTTAATCACAGCTGTGCTAAAAAGATGCATATGCTGTGCCAAAAGGATAAATGCAGCAGACTTAAATCCTAGAAACCACAAGCGTGTGTCACTAAAGACTTAACTGCAGGGAAAATTTGGTTGCAGAGATGGTTTGCAATAAGCCACAGAACAAATAAGTGTACTTTGTTTTACACATGTCATGTGATAAGAGTAACTAAATTCAAACAGACATAATATATTAAAATGCTTAACTGTTCGTATAATTAAGGTCTTCCTGATATAAAATGTACATACATTAAACTCACTGATATCAGAATTTCATTATTTTACTGCAGTATTATTATTCAATAGCAGCTAAATTTCACTTAAATGCCAAGATCTAAGATAACCACTTACTTTGTGAGCTTTGCAACTAACCCATGCCAAGATTTAAATGTACTTTTCCATTTTTCTGCGTGGGAACATTGATTTTTAAATTGGATAAATCTTCATTTAGGTTCTGGTACCTGCTATAACTAATTGAATTAGTTATATGTTATGTTTATTTGGTCAATTTGATAATTATTTAGAATAGTAAATAATGTTTAGTGACGTCAATGCTTGCTTTGGGAACTTTGCTTTTTCTTTTTTCAGATTGTGCAAGTCTTTTATTCAAATTAGCTTGAAATCAGCTGGTACCAGAGTCAATATGTGGATTTAATTTCACATGCACAAATGCATATGTGTGTGACTGTGTGTGTCTGTCTGTCTGTGTGTGTGTGTGTGCTAGATTTTATTTAAAACAACAATGCAGAGTACGGGGATTTTGCAGGAACTATTACCAACTTCCTTATTG